CGACAGTAATATTGTAGCAACAGTAGAACGAGCCAAATGTTCTCTCAGAGGCTTAAATTATTGACGCAGTTAGCCTTGTTTGCAAAACATATGACACTACTTTGAGCTATGAAACCCTTGCCTAATTTCCAAAATCTTTATTAGTTCTAAGAAGTGAGAATAAATGATTGTAAGTTACATGTACTGGACATTTACCCCCTTCTAGAGAATATTTTTAGTCAAAATGTAAATGCTTAGACCGAACACTTTTATGAGTGAAAGAGGATAACATGATGTTTCCACTACTATGCTTGACAGTATGGATAGTGTTGACTGGTGAACACTGGTGAATGCTATGTTGGGTTTGTACCAGACATAACACTTAACATTTAGATCAAAAAGTTCAAATTTTGTCTCATCTGGCCACCAGGCCATTTTTCCACAGTTTTGTAGTATCACAAATGCTTTAGCAATCTTGATGCAAGATGGGTTTACCATTTTGCCATACAGGGCAGCTTTGCAGTGTAATGTGGGGATTATTGGCTCATGGACACATTTTCTACCATCTCAGCCATTAAAACTCAGCAGCTTTTTCAAACTTGAGACCGACCATGGTATCCTTTATCAGGAACCTTCCAATTCTTAATGTACTGAATATGTTCTCAAAAGAAATATTCAATGTCTCTTGATTGTGCCTTTCTAAAGCTTAAGCCCTAAATTTGTTCTGCAAGTCCCTTCGTCTACATGGTAAAATCTTTGCTTGAAATCCATCACCCTACTGAGGGACCTTACAGAGATATGTGTATTTATTCATATTTTTGAAATCACATGAATCACTATTATTAGTCCCTTGATATCTTTAAATATAACTATGTTTTTAAAGACTTTTAAAAATGTACTTCACTTTCTTTTCAGGTCTTTTGAAATCTTAACCACCACATGTTCTGCTGAGTGTTCACAGTGATTTTTTTTCAATGAAGTATTCTATACTTAATAACATTTAATACATTAATTAATTTATTATTGGTACGCAGCAAAATAATGAATAATGTTGCAAATGGAGGGCGCTAATATGTACGTCTGCAAATGTGCCATTCTCATTGTTCTTTTATCTAATTTGTAAATGGATTGACAATTAATTGAATGTACATTTATTCAATTTGAAAATGAACTGACTCTATACCAATAACCCATGTTTATAACAAATGAACAAATGGAAGGTAGGGATTAAATATATTGTTTCCCACTCTATCCCCCTTGATAATATCTTGGCTTTATTACAAAAGTTATATTTAAAAAAGATTTACATATTTAGTCAAAGTCACAAACATTTGACAAAAGGGTATTCATTCATCAAGAAATTATCAGCAATCATTCAATTTAAGTTTGAGAGGTTGGATGCTGGAATGTAGGGATGCTGATGTCAAATTGAATTCCCCATGAATTCTCTTGGGGTATTCGTTAAGTCAATATGCTTATCTACTCAAGGAGATTAAGTTATTTGTTAAGACCAGGGTCTGTTGATAGAACAAAGGTCGTAATCTACCCAAATGTGAAAATTGATGGCTCAGTTTTTCTTCACTGTTGGTGCCTCAGCCTCTGCTTCTACTTTAATTCTTGTTTGTCAATGCTTACTGCCTGTTCTGGCACAGGTAGCTGTTCTAAAAGCTATCTGCCAGGGAAGGCAAATTAGGTGTGCCATAATAAAAACACTGAAGCTTTCATACATTTCAGGCCATGCTTTTCTGTAGATGAAATAACGAGCAAAACAAACTACAAAATCAAAAGGAAATTCACAAGCAACTTGTAGCAGACATGCAACATGTATTGTTGCAACATGTTTTGGATACTAACTGCATTCTATTGCTTTCGAATTAGGAAAACATTGTGGTCTGAAGGCAAATGCTTTATGAATATGGTCAAGCATCTCATTTGATTATCAGGTCTTTTACAAAGAAATCTGTTATAAAGCTGCTCTGTTTTGTAAATGTTGAGTAACAATATATAACAATATATAGACATAACAGCTGATTAAGTACCTCTTTTGAGAACATATACAGTACTTTAAAAATAGAAGGTACCATCCAGACACTGCCTAGATCAAGCTATGCCTTAAACTGATCAGCCAGGAAAATAGCAATACCAACTTATATGCATAGACTTTTATATACAGTTTAACAAACTTACAATGTTATTAGTATTTATATTGTAAAATCACATTGGAGCCTCACTTAAACATCTGTAATTTTAAGTTGGACAGCTACTGGAACACCTAACCATGAAATACAAACTTGCTTTACATTTATAATGGGTTTGTGTTGAAAGGAAAGAGATGTTTCATAGAACAGGTTCAATATAGGTCCTGTGCTCTAATTTTTCAGCTTTGAATAGAACTGTTTTGCTTAACATGGCACATAGTCTGAGTAAGCTGTTTATCCTGGGTTTGCATGGTTGTCACTATTGCAAAGCCTTATTTTTCCTCACATCTGCACAATGCTTTGGTATATAATTTCACTTAATAGCACTTCTGTGATTCTGTCCAGCTCTCTTGAAGTGCAGCTGTGAACGTAGGAGGCCATGTTCAATGGTAATAAGCTTGTTCTGATATGTGAAGGCTGGGTTTCATTAATACTCTGAAACTAGAACCTACAGGTGATAAACTCTGTGAAGACACATCAACTCGTTTGTTTGTCTTAAAGTTTCAATTCTAGTTCTCTCTGCTCTGTATTTTAGCTTGACAAAACAAATGTTGACACCATTTGTTTAAAAAAGCAATCTAAACTGACTCCTCATACACTCAACAAAAGTGTCTCTGGAAAAAAAGAGTTCTAAAACTTTGAGCCTTTATCATAAGGAGTATTCATATAAATACAGAAGAACAGTGAAGCATTAACACTTCAAAGATTCTTTTTTCTTGATATATTTAGCTTGAATTGGCCAATGTAGTGGAGCTCAAATTAAGTGGTTTTGTTTGGTCTAGGGTGTTATAAAAAGGAGTGTGTGTAGGGGGGGGGGGCAATCATTTATATCCTCTTAAAGGAAAAACTTTTTGAAGCCTACTGAAGAATCACTAATTATGTATTCTGGAGCTTAAACTGGCCATAATAATAAGTTAAATAATTGTGAAAGGTGATATACAACTTAAATGGTGGTAGTACACTTTCTCTTGCACATGAGTTCTCTCTATGTCATTATCACTTATACATGCAACACCAGAAAGCATCACAGTTAATAAATTTAACTGAATTCAGCTTGTTCCAATTATGAGAGGTTGGCTAATGGTACTCTTTGTTCAATGGCCATAAAACAGAAACTTTTATGTAAACTAGCTCACAGCTTTTAATAATAATAATTATAATAATCTTTTACACTTAGAGTATGTAGCGCTTTTCTGGACACTCCACTCAAAGCGCTTTACAGATAATGGGGACTCCCCTCCACCATCACCAATATGCAGCATCCGCCAGCCATAGCGCGCCGAACACTCACCACACATCAGCTATCAGTGAGGAGGAGAGCAGAGTAATGAAGCCAATTCATAGATGGGGATTATTAGGAGGCCATGAGTGTTAAGGGCCAATGGGTAATTTGGCCAGGACACCAGGGTTACACCGTTCCTGTTTTTGAGAAACGCCCCGGGATTTTTAATGACCACAGAGAGTCAGGACCTCAGTTTTACGTCTCATCCGAAGGACGGCGCCTTTTTACAGTGTAGTGTCTCCTTCACTATACTGGGGTGTTAGGATCCACATGGACCGCAGGGTGAGCGCCCCCTGCTGGCCCCACTAACACCTCTTACAGCAGCAACTTTAGTTTTTCCCAGGAGGTCTCCCATCCAGGTACTGACCAGGCTCACACCTGCTTAGCTTCAGTGGGCTGCCAGTTGTGAGTTGCAGAGTGATACTTTTTAACATAAAGGGTGTTTATATTACCCTAAAGGTACCAAAGTGGAATGTCATAAGACCTCTTTTTCTTGATACGTTTAGCTAGAAGGAGTGATACACCATACAGGTGTGTCAGGTTTTTTTTTTTTGGGGGGGGGAGGAGACTGACAGAGCTGACTCAATTTTATGTATTTATGACGTGTGCTTCTCATTGGCACTTTCAAAACTGAGTGAAATGACTTGATTGGCCAGGTATAGGTACTACGTTTCAATGCTGGAAGCAACTTTTAAAAGTTATGAAAAAAGAACAATACCATTTTTAAACAAATAAAGAAAGTCTTAGCTGACTACAAAGAATTAAATAAAGTTCTATGAAAAAGACTATTTAATAATTTCAGATGGTAATCCTGTACTGTTTTCCTCCTTTCAATTTCCCAAGATAAGTTTACAACCCTACAAATTCTGTTGGAAATAAACTCACAGCTGGTGGCTCTTCAAGTTGCTAAAACCAGTGCCTGCTAAGGATATGCATCATCTTGACTGTCAATCTTAATTTCTTTAAAGAGCAATTCTCCCGGGCTTCAAAATGCAAACAATTCAATAGAAACAAAATAATGTGTATTTACAGATAAATGACAGGCACAATATGCTTAGTGAGGTTTGATAATACTGCATTTCACCTGAACAGCATTCAAAGACACACTGACATTTCAACATACACAAAAAAATACAGAAGCTCAAAGACCATGCCAAAACCTTACCGAGTGTTTCACAAACGGTAAATTATTTGAGGTATCTACATTTTCTTTCACAGGGAGTAAAACAAAAGACATCAGCTTCTTCTATCTCACCTGGATGCAGAGAAAATTATTTCAAGGGAAGGGAAAGAGTGAAAGAGGAAGGAGGGAAGAAGAAAGAAGGGATTAAAAAGAAAAAAGTTGCACCTTGTGAGGCATCTTTTCGAGTAAGCTTGCCTTGTGTGCTCTCCTCTTCATTTTCACCTGAGCTTACTGCATTCGCCTTCTGTGCTGCTACCCAGCCTTTGGTTAATAAATCTCGGCTTTGTTTTCTCAGCACTCCCAAGAGAAAAAGGGAGGGATTCTGGCAGTTAAAATAATGAAAAACGCAGGCCCTTACCTTGCTGTTTGCGAAGAACAGCCTCCTCAGGGACTGGTTGTGAGCACACAGACGATGAGCGCTGGCTCACACTGCCTCTCACTGCAGGCTGCAGCTTGCCTGAGAAAGCTAATGCCTTCCTCCCTCAGGCAGACAGGCAGCTCAGAGATTCTTTGTGGAAGATGACTCATTTTATCATGCCTGCAAACTTCTTATGTGCTCCTCAATACCTGCTCCAGGATAGGCTACAGCGGATTTTAGTAACCCCATTTTTGAAATAAAGCCATCCAAGTGGGCAAGTTATAATAGGTAAACATAGAGGCTCCCCCATGAATAATTCCTTTGTGGAGTGCTAAATAACAGTCTGCTCATCAGGTCAGGTTTCAGACTGACTGGAGGTAAAGGTTAGCACACAGGACACCACCTGGTCTTCCCTCTCCCCACCCCCTAAAATGTAATTGGATAATATCTGCCTAGTAATTGCAGGTGTAGCCTGCTTCTTATCTAGTAATTTCCTGCTTTAACCACAATAAGGTAAAGAAAAAAAGGAGGGGGGGGGATCTGCATACAGACTAAAGTGAAAGTTATTATGGAGTTGTGGAACGGCAGTGATCCCCTGCCGTGCCTACTGTGATGCCAGCCAATGCACCACTACTACTACTGTAAATTGTTCTCAATATTATAATTTGAAGACAGTATCCCATATATAAAGAACATCATCTGGGAAGTATTATAGGACTCAAATATTTTGTGTTCCCTATAATTTATTTTTTTGTAAAGTAGAAACGTTAGTTTTTTTTTTATAAATTCAATTTATTAAGGAGATGTTAGAAAAGAAATGCCTAGAAATATAAAAGCAACCTATGAACCAGGCCACTGGAACAGTTAACAGTTTGTTCAGTCGTATTCCTTTTTTCTCTTTCTTACCTTGTTGTAGAAACAACTACCCCAACATCACATTTAGTTTTTAAGGATGCATTGCTGTGGTTTGATAAACTTAATGTCAGAAATGTATGAAATTGCTCTTTTTCACTTTTACTTCAGAATATAATGAAAATATTAGAAACCCAATTTCCTTTCTTAGTCAATGTTGACTAGCAAAAAATAAAATTCTAGTTTACAGGGGAAGCTTTTTTTAATCTAAAACAAAATTCAGAATGTAGAAATATAGTGGTGAATTATTTCAATTAGATTGCTTTTACTTTATTATTTAATTTTGCAATAGGATTAAGATTTTGGTATTTTAAAATCTAATTTATAAAATAAAAGGCCTATCCCCCAGATACTGGTATTTTAAACTATATCTATGAAATACTGTATATTAATGCACTATTGTACCTTTAATTACAGGAATTGTTTAAATGGTAATACAAGCATGAAAAACTGCTGTATTTTTTTAGAAAGCAGCATGAAAATTAAAGTCGACCACAAATAATTATCAGGAATACCTGTCTTTGCAGCAGAATGTGACAAAGCTGTCTGATTTGGGTAATTAAAGTGTCAATTTCTATGCTTTTGAACATACAGTACCCGCTTTTCCAATTTATGCCACATCGTAAATAATGTTTTGGTGTTATTGAATGCCAAGGTGGCTCCAGTTATCTTATTACATAAATAACTCAAAATGGCAATACGGGACAGCACAGGAGACTTAATTTCAGTGGTTCTGAAAGGAGGAGGAGCACCGCACAAAAGTAAACAAACAACAAACAGGAAATGAGAAACACAAAACATTTAACAGACATCTGTGCTGGCTCCAAAGTTTGACGAGCCTCTCCTCCACTTGCCCACTCCAAAACACTTGCTTTCCTTCTTTCTTTGTAGCCGTATTGTATGCATCGGACTTCTGCTTGAGTGCTCATTGGCTATGACTGTCACAGACACAAGAGCCCACCCCTAAGACTTAGGACTGGTTATGAGAAAATCAAACCTGTTTGATATTATCGTAGCGAGTCGTGAAGAGTCGTAGGGGCTATGAGGAGCGCTATAAGTGAGTCGCTGGGGATGTCACACTACACAACTGACGGTAACAGGTGCACACTCTCCAATACAATCCAACTCTCTAAAATATTAGAGATAAAATATTAGCAAACCAATTGATTCATGTTCAATAACATCCAGTTACAAACAGCTTACAAAAAAACATCTACCATTGAAGATTCACTACAAACAAAGGTCTCTCACTTGCTTCTGAGTACATTGAAGCTGTTCTCCTCGTAAAAACAGCTAATATCATATGAAGGAATACGTTTGATCAGAAGCCTAAATTTTTAGCTCCCTCAATGCAGAATGTGTTGAAGAATAAACCAGAACTTAGTACAGATATACAATTTCAGTTCATATTTGATATATCTCAAATAAACATGCCTATGATACAGCTGCTTCATTATAACAGTTTCGTAGGTTATGAAGAAGAACCAGCAATATAGACATTTAAAAAATTGTGCAACTTTGCTCCCAGTTCACATGGGAATGTTGTTGTTTACAAAGACAACTACATTACAAGTAATTCCAGATGACAGAGAATAAGAAATTGTGGTATAATATGTAGATGTAGTGGTCATAAAATTACTAGAAGAGGACATAGTGTGTCCATTGACATTAAGAAAAGGGTTATTCACTGCATCTGCTACAGACAATGTTAATCATAATTCAATTGCAGAAACATCAAAAGCATAATTTCATAGCAATAGCTTTTCCATTTTCCAGACTCAAATAATGATGGCGAGGTGCACGAACAACTTCAAATCAGAGAAGACTGGAAGATAATTCCAGAGCATGAAGATTAGTTTTCACACACTCATTTAACCCTGCAACCATCTTTCCCCACAAAGAAGAGCCCACATCTGCATTCTTATCAAATTCTCATTTCCCAAAAGATGTTAGGTAATGAAGACAACTTCTTAAGGTATGAATGTCTTGAGAAAGTGAAAATCACTGAGAAACTGAGTGATTCTATAACTATATTGAGGGAAAGTTCTCATGTTTGGAAGATTACATATTGAAATGGCAGCAGTAAGGTCATTTTTGGACTAATTTGGGTAATTTCACGAGAGAGTAAAACATTGCATTGTACCATGAAGCACAATCTGAATTGATCCCATATTTATGTCAACAGAAATGTGAATTGTACACATTGGCTTTTCATTGAGCTCAGAGACACGATCTCCCTGGAACATCATCTACAACTGGCAAAGAGAGTTTCACATGGAAAACTGTTGTCCAGAAATCTAATCAGGATTTTTCAGGAATGGCCATTGTTTAGGCCCAAAAGCAGGTTACTGCACTCATCAAAGGTTACAGGAGACCCACTGATACAAGTAAGGATCCATTGACAGGGAAGATGGTGGGTCATCCTAAGAAAGGAAAATTATTTGTGTTTGTAGCAGCATCAGGAGCTTATATTACATATAAACATGATATATTCATAAAACTGCCTACAATCATGATATGACAAAGAAATTTGTTTTTAAGACCCCCCCAACACAGTTTTAGTAATATTGGGGGGTCTTTAATGTTGGGGGAAATGGTTTTCTTTTTTGATTTTTCTTTTGTATTTTTTGTTTTGTATTTTTGTGCACTTTAGCAAGTAGTTTCATATGTATGTGTTGTGTTTATTGCACAATGAATTTTAGTTATAAGCAACTACTGTACACGTTGTTGCATTTTACTACGTAGAGTGCTTTGGGACACAGCAGTTTGAAGGAGTCTATGAAAGTTAAATAACCAGGGCTTTAAAATGCAGATTTACACAATTTTATAAGCCATTAAAACCCAGGAGACTTAGAGGCAAATCTGAACCAGAAACACTGTTGAAACTAACACGACTGAAAAATGCTGTAAAAGAGATATACTGTATAAAGGAAAACCTCCCACGGAAACTGCAGCATTCAGTATTCTTACCTTATATAAGTGGGATAAAAGTTGGGCCTTATTCAAATTTACCTTTGAGCTTCGTGTTTCTCTCTTTGTTATTATGTCAACAATGACCCTGCCTTTTTTTTTACATATCCGGTGTACCAAGAACAACATATAAAGTTTAAACTCTGTCTCCTAGAATGGACAGTAGTAGAATGTTGCTCCGTCCCACAACTGCAATACAGTCAACATCTCTATGCAGGGGTACTATATTATGATATGAAGACAACAAACCACTAGAGACCCCACTCCCAGTGTTCCTTCCAAACCTCCCCCCAGAATTGCAATTTTTCTTGAAGCTGTTCAAAAAACAGATGCATTGCTTTTGTCTAGCTTATCAGTCTCTAATTGAGCTAGTACATGATTAATGTCAGGCATACATACAGAATCACAGCCAAAGAAATTCAGAGCTATGACTATTAATAAATCAGTGTCTCAGTCATTGCCTGCGACTGCAGTTAGACATTATATAAAACTATGAAATTCCTAACATAACTCCCTACAGCATCTATGTCACATTGGAATAAAGGCCTTGTAACTGTTTCTTCGATTAAAACATTTCTTAATCCAGTGAACATCACTAGAGAAAAATAAAGTTAAACTAATAAAGGCTAGCCACATTCTCAGTATGGAGCCGTGGTAGCTCAGACAGCAAGGGGATCTAGCTCCTGACTGGAAGGTCCTGCGCTCAACCCCAGGTAGGGGCAAGTGATGTAGCTTGCTCTAATTCCTCCTAGGCAGCTCCCAGGTCCACTCAGCCTGTACCGGGGTTTAATCCTTCCGGGGGTAAAAGGCCGCCCGGAGCGTGATACTGACCACATCACCTCCACTCCCAGTGTCGGATGGTTGAGAAAAATGGAGGCCCTTGACCCCCATTCCCCCATGGGCCTTTATGGTCTGAAAAGGGACCTACCTACCTCCATTCTCAGTATGCAATATGTGTTACTTACATACAGATGGACAAACAAAGCTAGTGAATAAGCCAGTGTAAACAGAAACACCCTCATTTGTCTACAAAGTAATTGTCTACAACTGCCACTGTGATTGCTTTTTACCCATGCAAGATGGAGTGCTGCAGATGCATATTGTTTATCAAGACCATTGTTAGGGTTTTAGAGGTCGTTAACTGTGCTATTGATCATAACAAAGTGAAGTGAAAAAGCTTAGGTAAACTGAGCATTATTCTTTTAGTCCCTTGCCAATTGCTAAGCCTGCTAACAATGCTTTGTATTTTTTGTAAGTGATAATTAAGAGACCTGCTGAGCTCATGCAGAAAGAATTAACAAAAGCATACCATTTGATAGATCTTGAAAAAAAAAATCTCGACAATCTTCTAAAAATGCTGAAGAACTTCAAATACAGTACATTTTATCTTTTTATTTAAACTTAAAAGATGCTGTGAAACAGACATCACTTTTTAACTAGTGAAGGTCAATTAAATCATCCAGCGATTTGAA